AACTTCTGTAACGCTTTTTATTTACTAAATTGTTACAGAAATGACATGTATGCTACAGAAATGACAAAGATAAAAACTTGTACGTAGGAATAAAATAAAATATAAATATAAAATAAAAAATAAAGTTTGCATAAACCAACACAGTATTCACTGTTATCTTTAAAATCAATCCTACTAAAAAGTTTGTGAATTTTTATTTTTGAAATGTTCGGCAAGTTTCTTAAATTTTTTTGAGTAATCTCTGTTGAAAGGACCAAAAAGAAAATTTTAGAATAATTTTCAAGCTTTGAACTTACAGTTTCTTTGTTTTGTATACTAAATAGTTAATAAAATAATGTCTGACAAAAAGTCAAGTTGGTTATGTAACTAAAATCAGATAGAGAAAATGATACTAAATTACGAGAAAAAGAAGCTAAAGAAAAAGCCGTAATTAATAAAATAAAGTGCAATGCCAGACTTGCAGAAAAGCAAAAACAATAAAATTAAAGAAAACAGATACGTTAACAGAAACTCTTTGCCCATTTTGTAGAGCCAGAAGATGATGAACCTGTAGTAAAGAAAAGTAAACCTTCTACAAGTTTAAAGAAAAGTAAACATTCTACAAGTGCTTCAAATAAAAATGGAATTCTGTATTATAGTAAGTCTAGCAACAAAAAGCAAGAACAAGTACGGGAGCGTGTAAAAAAACACAGAGCTAATAAAACATCGCAGGCAGAGGAAGATTAAACAACTGGACTAGCCAATTTCTGAACTATCAAAAAGAGATCAATGAGAAACTTGCAAAAAACGGAAAAGAAATTCTAAAGTATATAGAGATAGAAAAGCTGCAAAAGCATCATTATTGGAATCTTCTGCCATGCCAATAATAAATATGCCATCAAATATAGAAGAAATGTCGTCATCAAGGAAATCTGTTGGAGGAAAGAAAGTCAGAATGGGGCCGTCAAAGCTAACAACAGATTTGAAAAGGAAAAAAGAAGAGTTAAGGAAGACAATGGAAGACCTGAAAATAGCCAAAACTTGCATTCTTTAATATAAGAAAAGAATTCAACAGGCTATCATATCGAAAGCAACTCTATCACCAGGTTTACACATACGTAGATTAACTGCTCATGGAAAAATTACCTAAATGTAGAAAAAACCTTTTATTTGAAAAAGTGGTTGTCTCATCACTTTAAAAAAAAAAAAAAAAAAAACAAGTACTGGGAAAATATGTGGCTAATCCATTTTTTAGAAAATACAAGTTAATTGGAATGGTAAACAATTTGTTCAAGTATAAAATATTCAAAAAAGTTGAAGCTTCAAATAGTCTTGAATATGAAAGAAAAAGAACTGTGCGTGAAACAAGATTAAAGGAATCTATGCAAATCCAATCATTTTTGTAGAAAGATGAAAACAACAGAATTTGTACCGGAGAAAAAGAAACCAAAAAAAGAAAATTTAGAAGTTTTGATGCATTCTCTGAAAGATTTGCATATCAAATACAACACGCAAATGTCATCTAACATTTCATACGCAATCTTTCTACGTCTCAGGCCAGTGTGGGTGCTTGAGCCGAACGTCAAAAACAGAAAAAGTTTGTTAGCAACAAACTGAATATTTCAAGATATGGAAATATTCAGTTTGTTGCTAACAAACTTTATCAATTAAAGATCCTTCCTGAAATTAATTTGGAAAATATTTGTAACACAATTTGTTGTGATATAAATGAAAGAAATTAAATGTACCGTGAATGTAACACCTGTAAAAATAAAGTTATTCTAATCAGCTTATCCGAAAATCTTGATGACAAGAAGATTTCATACAACAAATGGGAAAAAAAAACGAGACAAGGCTGAACAAAGGCAAAGAAAAAGAAATCACTTTTATGCACAAAGCAACCATAGAAACAACAAAGACAAGATTGATCAGAGAATTTAAATTGTTGCTATATCCATTCATGCAACACTTATTTGTCATGAAATACCAATTTATAAAAATGAAGTTCAGGAAAAGTGACTTAAAGTGCAACGAAACTACCATTCAGATAGACTTTTCAGAAAACTAATTTTGGTGCTGCTAAGGTGCAACTCTCTCTGCACACAGGAGTGCAGTATTTGGCTTCGGAAGATGATGAACCATGCACAGTTCAATCATTCGCATCAGTTTCAGCAAATCTTGATTGACATGCTATATGGGCACGTCTGACTGCTGTTCTGAACAAACTTAGTCACTCTATATAAGTACATATAATAGCTTTTTAGTACTTGTATGTTTTAACATTTTGTTGTCTTGATATGGAACATAAGTATATTTTTTATTTGTTTTCTATTTCGTTGTAGTTAAACAATTTTAATAAATTGCTTGATTTTTTAAAAATATTTTATCATTTGCGACACCTTTTTTGTATAGATAATGGTGATCTATATAAGTAGTATAAGTAATATAATAATAGTATAATATAAGAGCACTTCACTAAAAAAAATAAAAGGGTCCAATTAGTATAAATACCCTTAATACAGGTTTTACAGCTAGTTCAATATAATTTTACTTAATTATTCAAAGTCTAATTATGGCATTCTGTTTATTGTCTTTTTAATAGGTTTGGTTGATAGTAGGCACAATGATGTCTTAACTGTGTCCTTCATGGAACGTACTGATCCCAACAAAATTCACAAATTTGTGTGGCCAAAGTCAATATTTGTAGAGGACGTTCAGGAAACTGTTATTTTGTGTACAATTCCACAAGAACCACTTCAAATGGAATCCAAGTCTCGAGCAGTTTTTCAATTCCTTGATACTGATGACATTGAAGAACTATTTACCCCAAAAAAAAGTAATGCATACAAGTGTTATTGTATAAATTATCATTGATTATGTGTTAACTGTTTCATGAGCTTAATACTTTGTTAAAGCACAACAATAATTTATTCGAATTTGTTTTCATTTAAAAAAATTTGTTTTCATTTCTGTAACATACGAGTTATTCCTGTAACTTTTGAATCATTTCTGTAGCTTGTAGGTTTATTACATTCAAAATTTATTTTCACTTCTTTTACAAATTTTATCAATCATATTTCTTTAGAATATCATGTTCTACAGCTTTTCTAACAATTTAAATATTTTTTTTTTTATCTCTCAATTATGTATTTGTTAAAATGATGTTTAAATATATTTATTAAAAAAATTTATTTGTTAAAATCTAATTTTTCCAAATATTTCAACTTCTGACACCAATCATTGAAGTAAGTTTCAATCTAGAGTAAAGAATTGCATTAATTTCTTGTGAGAATATACATAGAGAAAAAAAACAATTATAAATGGAAGAACAATAATTAATTTTTTATATAATTTTAGTGTTGTTAGTAATTATTACAGAAATGACGTTTTTGCACAAGTGTGAATCTAAAAGTTTAAAAATGTCAAAAAATTTCAAGGTTTGATCGTGGATATTATACAAATCTGTTTTGGGACCCTTCTATCAACAAAATGGCAATAGTTTCACAGATTATAAAAGAATAATTGTTTTTGCTTTTGTACCTTATCAATTGTCCTCCTTTTTAGATTTTCATCCATATATTCTACTTTTAAAAAAACTTTGTATTTGAAGTCAAAGATTTTTTTTACAAATAAGTTACTTCTAAACAATGCTTGCATATTAATTAAAATGTTTTAATTAATATGCATCAAATACATGAGGCAGTCTTAATTACATAAAATGCATTTATATTTTGCAAAAGTTACTACTCTACGAGTAATAAAACTTTAACTGAAAGAAGTTAGCAAACCAAAAATGTCGGTTAAATGTCAGTTTATTTTGTATAAAAATGACGCTAAGAATTCATCACCCGCATAGAATTTCTGTTATTGACGGCGCCCTTGATCTATAACAATGCGTTAAATGTCCGTCTATTAATATGCCCTTGATTTAAAACGTATAAACTTTTCCTATTTGTAAAAAAACAATAAATCAAAAAACTTTAAATGCTCCTTGGATAAGGGATTATTTATAAAGTACGTACGCTTTTATTTACTTTTTTGAGTACTCTCTACCTCCCTAAAAGTACCTACGCTTTTAGCCTACCTACTCAATATTTAATAATACTTTTATTTAATTTAGTTTCTCTTTACTTTTATCATTGACCCCTTGTCCCCCATCTCATTTGCGCCATTTGCAGACCCCTTCTACCCCATCCGAGTGTTCGTACTTTATTGACAATCCCAAACTAAAGGTTTTAAATAATCATCTAAGATCAAACAAAAGCTTATTAAATTACTTAAAAGCAAGTTTGGTTTTAAAAGAAAAAGTTCCATTGAGCATGCAATCAAACAATTCGTTTGTGAAATCTCTAACTCTTTCAAAAACTTATAATTCACTTTAGGTATATTTTAAATTTATCAAAAGCATCGAATACTTTTGATAAACCTAAAAAATACAGTAAATCATGGCATTTTGAGTCATAAACTTAATTATTATGGAATGAATGGCGTAATTTTAAAATGGTTTAACAAACCAAAAACAATATGTTTCTTTTAACGATCCTTATCAAAAGTGGTCCCAAAGTTGATCTATGCGGATCAACTTTGGGATCACTTCTTTTTTAAAGTATTATTTATTTTTATCTGATAAAAATTTTGATAAACTTTTTACTACTATGAATGAAGAAATCAAAAATATTTCTAACTGGTTTAAATGCATTAAACTTACCCTAAATATTAAAAAAACAAAATTGCTTCTTTTTCATTCGATAACTAAAAAACGTTATTTACCCCCAGCTTTACCTGACATTTTTATTGGCTAAATTGAAATACTGAAAGAAATTGCGCCCTTGATGAAAACATAACATTGAAGCAACATATTGATTATGTTGGTACTACAGTTTCCAAAAATTTCGGAATTCCTTATAAGGCCTCTTATAAATCTGTATAAATAAAAAAGTTTTATCCCAACTTTGTAATACATTCATTCACAGCACAACTTTGTTAGACATTCATTCACAGCACAACTTTGTTAGACATACATTCATTCTATATGAATCAAGTAACAACATCTCTATCCCCATCAGAAACATGCAATACGTGTAATTAATTTTGCTGATCGTTTTTCTCACTTTAAACAACTTTTTTCTGAAATGAGAATACTTAATATTTAAAAATTTAAGATTTTTAATATTTTATGTCTTGTATATGTATGTAAAAATAATCTTTCTCGTGTCGTTTTTAATGATCTAATTACCTTGAAACCTACCAATGAATACTCTCTAAGAAATAACAACCTTTTTGTTGTACAAATTTTAACCAATTTTGTATTATCCTGCACCCCATTTTTGGAAAAAAATTGTTTTTCCTAATTTCAATTTTGATCTACCTACTTCTTTGCATCTTTTTAAAATTATGCTGGAAAATCTTTTACTCACCCATATTATCAAAGTTTGACAGTAATATTTATACTATGGAAAATTTTATTAAACTTTAACTAAAAAAATTTATTTTATTATGTACTTATAGTTACTTTATAACCTAATATTTTATTTACACTAGTATAAGGTTATGACGTTAAGACATTACTCATCTTCTTTGAGATACCTTGTTTTTTAAATGTTAGTAGTATTTGCGTACTTTATAAATTCTATTAACTTTTGTCTACTCTCATTGTATTGTAAAAACGAACTAAGAAATGTATTATACAATTTTTTTATTTATGAATCTTATGAGTTTATCAAATATAGTAAATAATTTGTTTCCTTACCATCTAGTATCTGATTATGTTATCAAGCGAAACAATTTTTTTATTTTCTCTCTTCGAAATTGTAAAATTGGAAACTCTTTTTGAATAACTTGATTATAGCTTATAATAAAGTTTATGATTTATTATAGGAGTGATATTTTATTTGATCGTTATCTTTTTGTCAGTGTGTTTTATAATCAGTCTATAATCCGTGTATAGCAAAAAATATAACCTCAGCTAACTGTTAAACTTAGCAGTTAACTGCTTTTGTTGATAATCAAAATAAAATTAATTAATTTTATATTTACAAAAAAAAAAAAAAAAAAAAAATATTCGCCTTTATTTTTTTTTTTTAAATCGTATAACATATAATAAAGTTATCTGAAAACATGGTCTTTTTTAGTGACAGGCCAACTTTATCATACGGCTTTTTTAAAAAATGAAGGCGATATTTTTTTTTATTTTTGTAAGCATTTATATTTTAGAATTTTAACAAATAATGAGTTAATTAGATAATAATTAATTTATTATAAATAAAGATTTTTGTAAAAAATAAATAAATAAAGCCTCTGAAATTAAAAGTCGTATGTTTAATGTAAACCTTTCATATTTTATTAGCGGTCCGAACCCGTAAAATGCGGGTCTTAATATGACTATTTAACATTTCTATACTTATTAACTTCAATATTTTTTACATAAAAGTAACATAGGTAACAATTGCGTAACAATTCTCCTGGTGTTTTTGGAAACTTATAATAAAATATAAACACCCAACTTTATCTAAACATGTTCTTAATTTGGCCTCTTTAAATCAATAAATTATAGTAAACGGCAGAAAACTAATCGATCTAAAATTTTTGGCTTTTGGTTAACAATTTACAATACTAATTTTAATATTTTTTTACATAACAAACGTATCTTTAACATAATAACAATTGCGTAGCATTTCTCCCGGTTCCCGGTATTTTCGAAAACTTGAAATTATTATAAAAATTTTTAAAAATTAATTTTTTCAAACCCTCTCACATTAAGATTCGCTTTAAAAAGCAAAAGAGGAGTTAGAAAACGAGCCAGGAATCCTAGTTATATCAAATAAGTTAGCTCTATCTGTTTGACATTTTTTATAGAAATTTTTTTGTAAAGTACTCTTAACAAAAAATTTCATTTAAACTGTTTTGAATACCGATTTTGTTAATTAAATTATTATTAGTTGTTGTTTGTACCGAAACTCAATACATAATGCAAATGAAAATCATCTGGATTGTAAATGGTTGCATTAACATATAAGAATATAACGGGGAAAAAAAAAAAGCAAAAACGGCCAATACATCCTTACAAAACAATAATTCCAAAGAAAAAAATATATATATTATATATAAAAAACCTATTTTTCTTTTTTAACAAAAAAAAATTACAAAAAAATATATTTAATATCAAAAGTACTTATAAAAGCAGTTTGAATTATAACATTGTTTGATTATTATATAGCTTTTAGTAAATGAAATAAAGATTATTTATTGAAACTTTATTTTAACAAAGAGATGATATAATAGCTTAAAGAAAAACAAAGCCGAAAATGATTTCAAATCCGTCTTAGTAGTATAATTATTCCAGAGCAAGTTAAAATAGCGCTTTTGCGAAAAAATGCAAATTTTTGAAACGTAATTTGTGAGCTTTGAATGCTATAGTCAAAATGAATTATTTTCTTAAAAGTTTATCGAATAGGTTTATAACTAATACTTGATCAACCAAGAAGTTAATTACAACAAAAATCACGATTAAGGTGAAGTAATTATTTCTTGAACACCTCAATTATAGATACAATAATCAAAGTTTTAGACAATCATTACTTCCTGTTTGAACCTTTTTTTTGCTTACCTGTTCAGCTTTAAATTTGTTACATTCTTTTAGAATGTTCTTTCGGCCAGACACTTATTAAATCTCTCCAGACTTTTATTCTGAGTTGGAGCATTTTTGCTGCATTTAAAAGCAACCGCGTTATGCCGTATTAAATAGCCATGGCGCGGTGGTAGTGCACTTGCCTCAGAAACAAAGGATTCCTGGTTCAAACCCCACCTCTGGGCAAGTTTTGCGACATCGGTAAGAAAGGAGGCGTGAACTTCCTATTAAATACTAATCCGCGGTAATCATGCTCTTTGATAAGACGTACGGTCTTCTTGGGGCCCATAAATAAAATAAAATAAAAAAAGCAAATTGCTATATTCTAAACATAGAGATATAAAATTTATTTTTGTAAATCCGGCAAAAGTACTACCAATTTTCATCTAGACATTAGTTAAGTTCTAATCTATAAATTTATCATTAGTCGTTCAAAAAGCACAACAAAAAAATAACAATAAACTAACTATTATTAACAAATTTTTGAAACTTCCATCTTTTATATGCAATGCATTAATTGTTTATGACGTTTTGAAATAATACCATTGAATAATTTTTGTTAAACTGATTGGTTAACTTTAAATTATGATAATTACGCAGTGTTTAGTAGAAAATTGTTACTACTAATTCTTTTCCTTGAAAAATGACGTATTTTAACTTTGACCTAAAAATGGAACAAAATCATTATTGAAAACATTTGTTACACTTTAATTGTTATGTACTCTATTTATTTATTTTTAAACTCCAAAATGTGAATAAATATATGTAGCCAGTTTCAAAAATGAAATGACCCAATAACCATTTTTAACGATAGACGACATGAAGTTAAGCCAAGTGGTCTATCAACACAAAACATCACAACAATAACATCACAAAGTTAACAAATAACTTAACATGTTATAGTAAACTCTCAATTACTCAAACCTACAAAGAGACTAAGAAACAGCTTGTTAGAGAATGTTAGAGTTATTGAGAATATAATCCATGAATAAAGCCTTAATTGGAATTTAGATTAAGTTATTAGAGGCTATAAGTGTTTCTATGTGTGTGCTAACAGCACACACATAAAAACACTTACATAAAATTTACATATCATAAATCCATATAACCTAATATAACACATATTAACCAAATGATAAACAACACACATTATTACATCATATGACTGAATAAAATACTTATTAAAACTATTTAGGATGTAACATTTACATTTACTACATTATTTTTGTAATGTTCGTTTAATAATATACCTTAAAATGCAAATGACTTGGTTCTGGAGTATGCTACTTAACACCTGTGCTATATGGTGTGTGTGGAGTATGCTACATAACACTTGTATCATATAATTTGAGACTAGCTTTATTTAGCATTAACTAATTAAGAAGTTTGATGAAACAATTAAAAATTATTAATAATTTATTATAAGTAAAGCAATTAGTATTTTGTATTAAATTAAAGCAATTTATTAAAGTAATTAGAAATTAAAACTCTTCTTTTATCAAGTAGTATATAAATGCTTTGGTTAACAAGCTCTAAAAAGTTGTGTGTACAGTTTTAATCAAAGCATAAAGATGGAAAACACGTCGTGTGAAACCGTTTCCAGATGGAAGGCTTCTCAAGATGGAAAGCTACAATTTATAGAAATATAAACGGTGACAATAAAAATAAACCATAGGATTGAAAAGCTGGAAGTGAAAGAAGGCCTACTTTTAATTCACAAACCAACTTATCAAATTAAGAAAAATGTGTAACCATTGAAGAGGTGTCTCACTTTCAAAGGCTGCTAGAAGGCTTGGTTGTAGCATAAAGATCAGGCGGAACTCCTGAACAGTGGCTCTGCGATAGCTAAAAAGTAGTCAACTTTTTTCAAAATATTGTTACTACGTATTTTTTATTGACAGTGAATCTTACTTTACCTTGTTGAATAACACACTGACTTTTAAAATTACATACGCACACAAATGATCAAACTTTGAGAATAGACACTGTTTAGCATTATCACTTTTCAAAATTTGAAAAAAAATTACTTGTATGGATGGCAATCTCCCCACGATATTCACATCAATTTACATTGTTCCTTGAGAAAAATTGTTCACAAAGCCGCTAGCAATATTTTATTAATAAACATTATTGAGACACCAAGTACATCTTTTGGCTTGATTTGGCAACATCTTGCTATGCTAGTTTAGTAACAAACTGGCTAAAAACCCAGAAGATACCATAGGTTCAAAAAAAGAACAATCCAGCAAACTTGTCAGAAGCACGTGCTATAGAAGATTTTTAGGCAATGAATAAACGAGATTTGAGCAAAGATATAAAGTCTTAAGCATTAGATTATTGTGCCATTAGATCTGACCTATACGCTGTACAAAAGCTGTTGCATGTTCCGTTGCAAGGGTTCGCCAAATTTAAAGATAAGAAGT